GTTTCGTGGCAGTGGGAAGGTTACACTGGTGCCCTCTAATGCCTCATAACTATTAGCCCGCCTCAGGACATGAGCCACCTGCCTTCTGGTCCGATTCAGTGTCCTCGGAACTGGGAAAATGTCGGGCCCAATTCCACTAAGCAGCCCCAAACACCTTATTATTATGTTAAACTTACTGGCCACTTCAAAGTAGGCTAAGATCTACAAGCCATTACATCTTCAGGTTTGCCATTTCCAAACCTCCCTGCATCCCCTACTGCAATTTCTAAATCCTCATCTGAACAAAGAGAAGAAACTCTTCTACCCCTTGGTCGACACAGGTAGCAACACGTTAGAAGAGTTGCTGTCTGATGTAATAAAAGCAGATTGACTCCTGATCTAGCTCCAGATCTCAAACACACTAAAGGGGGGCAGTCAGAGAGTGTGTGGAAGGGGAGCAGGTGGGAGTGTAGGCAGGCAAGGCAGATGGCACTCGGCAGTGGCTGACGCTGGCGGAACGAGCTGAACCTCCCCACAAAGATAATGACAAGTTTCTCCTTCTGAACCAGCACTTGGCGGAAGTAATAACAGTGGCTCAGCCTGTAATCCAGTAAAGGAGGAGTATTATATGACATACACCAGCCTCAAATATTTTTTTAAAAATAAGAACACAAAATAAGAGCCATAGTCCAAGTAGCAAAATAAATGAGTCTGTGATCCTTCCGCAGCTCCCTGTGTAAACTAGTACTCCTTTGGAGAAAGGAAGTGAAAGCAATTGGCTGTCCTGAAGAACAGCCTTTTGATTTCTGCCAGCCACACTTATTTCTAGCTGTCCTGGATCAGACCAGGCTTATTATTCTATAAGGACTTCTTTAGAAACCATCTATTGCTTAGAAAACATATATTCCAAAACTGGCAAATGGGAAAAAGAACTATTTAATTTTAATAGGACTTTTTTCCCCCTCCTTCCACACTCTGTAAATTGTTCTTCACTACTCTCACACTGTCCAAATAAAAGCTACCGTGGCTTCCAGAGATGAGTCAGAGGGCTAGAATTCATGGCAAGATTAGCCTTGAGTCAACAGAGTGAGCACCTATCCTATTGTGACTATGCTTGCTTCAAAGGCTCTTGAGCTAATCACATAAAAAGGGTTCATTAAAACAGCTCCTGAACTTCACCAGTATTTGGTCTGACTGTTCACTTGGGACAGGTCAGCCACAATTGAGCTGAAAATGAGGCCAACTGACTTCTAACAAAAGCAAGTAGCCAGATTTATGAATCTTTGGAGGTCAGCATATACCTACTTTTGTGACTCCCTTTGACAGCTCTCACACAGGGAGGGGCCAAGGCTCTGGGTTGTGGGATACAGTGAGGGTAGGCATTCCCACCCAGAGCTTCCCCCCAGGCCTGGAGCGCTGAGCCTAGAGAGTTTACGACTATTCAAGAGCAGCTAGGGAGGGGCTCCAGGGCTAGCCAGTTCCTGGCACTGACAGATGTGCCTTTATGTTGACACATCCACCCAGCCCTCATAGACCAGGTGCGTGAAGCAATCTTTTCATTCCATCCTACCAACCTTAGCGAGTTAAACTGTAACTGTGGCGGCAACAGGAAACTGTACTTGCCTACTAAAACTGTGGTCATGGGCTTCCCAAGAGCATCATGTTCTTTCCCAGCCTTGATGACAGGCAGGGAAATTTTTTTAGAATAAATCTAGTCTATTGCCAACTTAGTGATCCCTGACATCAGCGCATCGGGTACCCCTCCTATCATCCAATAAAGATGTACCTGGGGTGAACTGAAAACACTGTCCCCACTCCAGATTCTCTTCCTTTCCACTCATTCATAACTAAAAGGGACTACTTATTATAAATACCACCTGGGTTTGTGTACCCTGAAAGGCTACAAAACAGTTTTATTTTTATCACCCAAGTAGTCACCACTTTAAAGACTCAGCAAACAGGGAAGCTCTTCAAAAAGAGGATGCCACAGGAAATCCTCAGTTTACATTACTGCCACTTATCTTATTGCCACTTTGCCTCTTTCACACCTTGATGATATTGGTCATCAATTTAGTTCATGCTTTCCCTTAACTCTCAAATCAGCCTCCAGGCCAACAGGAGGATCTAAGAAAAGCCCACCAGGTTCACCTACCAGGAAATATCTTTTACTAATGTGGCACCTGAATTTGAAATTCCAGCTCTGCCTCTCACTAGCTGTGTGATATGGACACATTTCCTAGCCCCTCAGAGCTTTCGTCTCCTTATCTAAAACTGAGATGACACATGTAAAATACTTGCCAGCATGCCTAGCACCTATTAAGAGTTAAAAAAACAACTCTGGTATATACCTGATCTCATCATTTTGTCTAGTACGCTTCAGAACCTCAAGCATGCCTGTTTTAAAAAATAAATAAATGATATATTCTCTAGCCAAATAAAAATGTTTAGGATTATCTCCGCTTTTAAGTCTTACCTTTAACAAAGATTTAAGATAGATGTCTATTCGTATCCATTTAAATATAGCTCCAATTCTTTTTCAAGCCATTTGTAATGTTTTCATCCCTATTTCCCACAGGAACACAGTGCAACCAAGTGAACCAATCTCCCGTGTCCTTTGCCCATATCTGCTGCCTATAAATCCCTTAGTCATTCTGCCCTCAACACTTACTGTTGTCCAACCACTGTCCTTCCTCTCTGTCCATCTTTCCAAATCTCATCCATTCTTTGAAAAGCCCTTTCCAACAACTCCATCTCTGCTTTCTTGAATGCTTACTGCACCCCCAGCCACAAATCATAACATTTTCACTGTGTTGTTCTCTACTGATTAACTTCGTACTTCATTTTGACGGAATTTCTAATTGCTTTAAGCATGTTTCATCTCCCCTACTGGACTGTAATCTCCTAGTGGGAAAGGATCATATCTTTTATTCCTCTTGAGTCTCCTACTGTACAATGTACATTGCTCTGAACAGGGCACAGATATGTTAAATACTTACTGATGACTGGCTACACTCTACTCCCTTCCTAAAGAGCCTTAAGAGGTGGCGCTGACTCAACTTTACCCAGAAATGCTTCCAGAGAACTTGATGGATGCTCAAATAAGTGTTTTCTGAATCAGATTCTGTTTCAATTAAGAAAAAAGGAGGCCTCCAGTTTCTCTTTGGGATCTAAGTTTTACATTCTCAATGCACTGTAAGCCAACAGTCTTTAAACACTACTTCTGAATGATCCTAGAGTCCATGAAAAAGTCAGCTGACATACCATAAGTCTACCAACTTCAAGAAATATCTCAAAAGCCTCACCATAAGCCAGCCCTTCCAAAACAAGCAGCACGTGGTAGGAACTCAATTTAGCTGTCAGAGGATGCTGACCCCACCCCACATCACAACACACGTGGTTAAAAAGTATCAGTCCCTAAAGGAGAGTAAAACAACTAACCAGTCCATAACTCAGAGAGATAAGTCAGCGCCTGGCCAGGAACACCATCCTTCTCTTAAGACTACAGTGATGGCTGAGTCAGGAAGCTCAGAGTTGGGTGAAGGGAATTCCATTATAGAAACCACTGGAACAACTGGTTTTCCCAACTCTCATCTTCTCATTAAACTCAACTGCCTCAAGTCTGCGTTCTAACAGGAAGCATGCTTAGCCTAGGGCCTAGCTCACTTACCACCTAGAACAGTTATACTCTGGAGGGTTACATTTAAGAGAGAAAAAACTAGAGAAATAAGAGCCTAAAGAAAAATATTTTTATTGGAGTGTTAGTATGTTAAAAGTCTTTCCTCAAAAACAGGCAATTTACTGCCTTGACAATTCTCTTGTATTCTATAAAATTAACACAACCCCGTAAAATCCTTTATAATGATCATCCAATCAACTAATCAATTCTTTACTAGACTACTACTGAATGAAGTCTTTCTTACTAGACCGTGTGGAGAAAGAGGACTCACATCACCAGGTTTCTTAATTTGCCTCTTGAGCTAGACCACATATAAACCACTGGTAAGAAAAACACCATTCTTAACAACAGAGCAACTTGCCCTCAAATAAACATCAACTTTATTTTTAAAATTTGGAGGGTGAATGCCAACATGAAGCAAGAAAGCAAGGGCAGACTTAACAGTTTATGCGATTACGGGCCTAAAGCTGCAGCATGATTAGTCAGAGAAGGCGGCACGGGGACGCTCACAGGACCGCACCACATGAACCACCTACAACAAGGGCACTCGGCATCAGGGCTTTATTCAACCAACAAAAGCAACAACCAGGAACCCTCATCACCTGAGAGTGTGCAAGACACTGTTTTATCAAGCCAGCACAGAAACAGATCAAGAAGGTAAACACCTAAGAACAGTGTCTCACAACAATCAGAATATTTAAAGTCATGGTTAACTAAACAAACAATTCTCTCATTTATTCCCCATATGTAAAAAGTCAAAATATCACTTGAGCCACTCTAGGTTGTGAGTGAGGAGGCTGATGGGCCTTAACAGGCTGAAAAGACATCAGCAGGAAGACATGCTAGCCAGGTAAACGAAGTTAACAGCTCTATAATAATATTTAGGATCAATAATTGAGCTTGTCTTTTTTCTCAAAAAAAAAAAAAATCCTCACCCGAAACAAACAAAAAACAAAGTAGGAACAAATTCTAAGGGTGTATTGTTGTTGCTCTAAGTTTAGTATACATTTACACTGGAAACATGGCTGGTGATACTTTGACTTTCTTTTTTTAAACGCTAAAGGTAAGGAGGAACTTTGTTCTTTCAACCCCAGATCAGAGCAAAGAGACAGGAGTAAATTATAAATGTGAATGAAGCAACATCTACAGGACATGAAGATTTGGGGGAGGGGGGAGGGGAGAAGGGGTAGGTTTTCATATTGTTGCTGTTGGTAGGAGAGATAGGCAGTCTTAAAGAACCTCCTCTGAGGTGTGGCATTCTAGGTTTCTAGATTTGCCATGAAGGGGTATTACAAATCCCAAGGCCCACCACCTACCCCTTCTCCTCTTCTCCGAGGGCACCTACCTTACTGTAAGTCACTACTGATAAGTTGTTTGAGTGACTGCTGGGGGATAGATTTACAGAGTTCTGTGAGAGTCTATTCTGATCTTGCTCGGTTTGGTCAGGAGCAGGAGCCCATGTGTTTTTGCTGATCGAGTCGAACCCGGAACCCCCAGGGTCTTTTAGGTTGTTTTCATCTGATTGTCGGTTCTTTTGGGGAGAGGCAAACGGGTTGAAGTTTCCTTCTACCTTGCGGTGTGGCTGTGTGTTGAACTCCGTTTCAAAAGATGACAGCTGCTGCGTTACTCCTAAAAGTCCACCCACCTCCACACTGAGAATCACCCAGATGACATCTGAAACAGAAAGGCAACTCATGTCAATGCCAGGCATGCCTTCAAGGCTCAAGGCAGCTGCCACAGAGAATACCAAACATTATCCAAACCTTTGAAAGAAATGTTCTTCCACATGCTAGTTTTAAATGGTTGCTGCTAAAGCAGTCCAGTACATTTGCAACGCATGCATTTCCGCGTTTTTTGGTAATGTCAGTGGAGGTCTGCAGTGAGAGTTATGAAACTCTACATGTAAAAAGCTTACCAGTTGATTCTAATGCACAGCCATATTTGGAAATCATTACTCCAGAGAACAACTGATCAATACACAGAAACCTAAAAGCTATTAGTCCCAGAATTACCAGCTTTTTTGACTTTTGCATTATTTTGCATGTGTTTAACTCAGAAAACTCAGGGCAGGCATAATTTTTGAGTGAAAAAATGCTCATAATTACTAGAATTACAATTTACAAGCCCCCCTCCCCACTTTTTCGGCAATTTAGAGTGACCATATATTGTCCAAACTAGGACAATTGAGAGTAAAAGAGGTAGCTATTAATGGTTACACCAGCAAAAGAGGTGTAAACCAGGATTAACTCAGGCAAACTAGGACATCTATCACTCTGGCTATTGTCATCATCCATGGGATCAAAATATACCAAGAATTTAGTATGCTTCAGACTTTCTAAAGTAATCCAATTTAACATAACTTTTTTTTTTTTTTTAATCATATAAAGAAACCCTACTACCTGTCTACACTGAAAACAGAAGTGACTTTTTTTTAAAAGATGCACCACAGGACTTCTGGTCATAATTCAGTTCCAGCATTCCTCAACTGTCAAAGCTAACAGTTCAAATGGAAGAATAAAGAAAGAAGCAGTTTCCTTTGATGATCAGCACCTCACTACAGAGAACAGTGGCATCTACTTTCCTGCTGGAAGGTTTTCAAAGAGCAAGGTACAGAAAGGCCAAGGAGTTTTTAAGTGTATGAACCCGGCTGAAAACAAATATGGTGAAAAATTCCTCAGGCTCCAAAATAACTGTTGAAAGGCTGACAGGAAAAGGCAAATAAATCTCACCAGTTAGCTACCTGGAAGTATAGAAAAACACACTTGGGCTGCATTTATTCTAAATTCTTAAGTTGGGTTCTGTACCTGAAGAAGGGGATCTGAGTGTATCATATAACCATAAAAATCAATTTCAGTTTAGTTTTCTTGAAGTTGTATTAAGCGGTTATAGTCAAACAGCTATGAGCCAGAACCTTGTAAGCAGAGATGCAGTGACATCTGCTGTTCACTTCTGGAGTCAGCAACTCCTTTTACCTCTAAGAGGAGGTAAAGCCATTAGCATGACTCATGGAATGGTTACCCATTCCAGACACACTTATCATTAAAGATCACATGTAAACAAGTACCAGAGAAGTTCAACCGGTTTATTTTAACACTGTAAGCCAGGACATGCAGCATGCCACTTAATTTAGAAATCTGGGACAGCGCCAGGAGTGGTGGTCAGGACTTGAGCTCGAGGCTCGAAGTCAATCACATAAACCAATTCCTATATGATGTGGGCCTTAAAGAACAACCCAATGGCAGGCAGCTTGAGGGAGATCATCCCATGCTCTCCTATCCTAGCTTTCCAACTAAAGGCAGCCTCTCACTGTTCATTTTACCCAAATAGATATGCCTTGCTTAAAGTACATTTATTCTACTTCTTGTCTTCCACCCATCTGTTTTCCAAAATCCTTTTGTTAAGTACATGATATGCTTAGCGTACTCAGCTACAGGTCATATGCTTCATTCTCTTAGCTCAGGAAAATAAATGCTTATGAGAAAGGACAGTCTTCTGAAAGCTGTTATCAGTAAATGAGACTAATGGCATCCCCCCTACCCCTTTGAAAACTAAAGCTTCTTTTAACATAACTCACTGGGTCTTATCATACTTACTTTTAAGCTACCTTACTCTCATCACTTTGGCTACTGCTCTGTACTGTTCACAGATTCTACCCAACAGCTATAAAAGGAAGATCATTTAAGAAGCCATTGATTTATAAACACTAACAATATACACCCCAGTACCGTTCCTTCGAAGTCCTTACCAGGATGAATCATTATGAACAGCAAAGTGTGCCTTCTACATGCTACAATCTTAGCCATCTTGGTACTCCCTCTAGACCTCACGTTTCTGAATGTGTTCACCCCCTGCATAGTGTGTGTATGTATTTTTCAATCACACAAATAAAAAGAATGATAACGATGGGACTAGTAAGCTTGTTTCAGAGAGGTGGACCATTCCTAATTCTTGCCCAGACAGGCTTGGGTACTAAGAACAAACTGCAAGCCAGATATTTTACCATCTGTGATGATAAAACCGCAGCTGGATGGAATCTTAAGGGGCATCTAATGCAATTGCTTCACTCTCTGGATAAAGGATCTAAGCCCTAGAGGTATAAGTGATGGACTCAAGGTCAGACTTCAAGTTTGAAACAGACCTAGACGATGACAGAGAACTCCCAGCTCTTTGTATGGCTTATTAAACTCAAACCTATTTCTCCCCAACAGAGAACTTAGGACCAAGTACTCAGGGAATTAAGGCTATGGTTAAGTCAGTCCCATTTCCCAGGCCATAGTATCTTTACCCACAGACATATGATCTTTGGCACCAATAACAAGAAAGTGCCAAAAGGAAGTTTCAGACAAGTAGCCAATATATAGAATGAAGTGCCAAGCTCACACAGTCAGGACTTAGTAAGCAAATGGAGAACCGGCCTTTAGAATGTCTGGCCTTAAGGTGATTTGTTAACAAGTGCCTGAGCCAGAACTTTGGTGCTAGAAGGTACTGTGAATATTTCATTCAACTCGTCCCTTTTACAGATGACAAAAACTTACTATTAAAGTATTAACTTTCTTTTGTAGATATGTATAAGAAATTACTAAAGAAAGAAAGTGATCTTTATATTTCTTAAGATTAGACTATTAGGGAGAGCAAAAAGAAAATATTTCACTTGGGACCCAAGTACATAATCTTTTTATTTTTTATTCAAGAAAGTAGGTTTTATTAAAACAGTTTTTTTTCCCTCATTCAAAAATTTATACACTGTGACACTGGTTGCAACCCCTGCATTGTGTCAGCATTCTCCCCCTTTCCATCTTGGGTTCCCCATGTCCACTCGTCCAGTTTTCCTGTCCCTTTCTGCCTTCTTGTCTTTGTTTTTGGGCAGGTATTGCCCATTTGGTCTCATGTACATGATTGAACTAAGAAGCATGTTCCTCATGTGTATTATTGTTTGTTTTATATGGGTCTGTCTAATCTTTGGCTGGAAGGTGGACTTTGGGAGTGGCTTCAGTTCTCAGTTAGCAGGGTGTCCAGGGGCCATAGTCTCAAGGGTTCCTCCAGTCAAGTACATAATCTTAACAAAACCATACTGGCATACAAAGACATCTCAGATTCTGTAAGAATGTTAAAAAAAAAAAAAAACGACATGTATCACGGATCAAATCACATCATAATAAGCATAAACAAGTATTCGCAATTTGTCTACTAATGTAGAATTGCTAAAAATCAGTACAATATTCCAGGTGTTAAATTTATTTCTCATGGGAGTATGGGTTAACAATTCTGAAACTGCTGTACATGAATACCTGGGATGGATAAATAAATGAGAGACTACCAAACCAAACCCATTGCCAACGAGTTGATTCCGACTCATAGTGACCCTACAGGACAGAGAACTGCCCCACAGGGTTTCCAAGGAGTGGCTGATGGATTCGAACTGTCAGCCTTTTGGTTAGCAGCTGAGCTCTTCACCACTGAACCACAGCCAAGGTTTCTCATTGTCAGAGAAGAAAATTAGAGACAAGCAAAAAAGGAAGGCTAGAATGAAACCTGTGGTATTGGATTAAAGTCATTCAGACATCAGTATGAACTCATATTTACCTTAACATACATTGAGATGAAGAAATAGTGAAACAATTATAGATGTATGCATTCAAGGGTTAGTATACATACATACGTTACTGAGCTTTGTCTGCTGAGAGGGCCTAGGAGTAGTAACACCCTAGTAGCAATGAGCACACTCAGTGGCCTATCACACTTTCTAAACATCATTTCCAATAAAAAGAACCAGGGTTCCTTGAAGAAATAGCTGATTCTACGACTGGGGCAGGGAAAATACAAGACGAGCCAGGAGCATTTTATACTATCAAAGTAAGGAAGTGCTCAAAAACAAAAGGATAGGGGCATGTGAAGGGACACAGAAGCCAACATGAAAGAGGACATACGGTCAAAGCTGGAACAGAGCAAAAAAATAACACAGTATTGGATTATAACCCAAAGAATAAAATAAGTATACAAGACTCCACAGTGATAAAAAATAAATGACTAAATAAATGGTAGAGAAGAGACAAACTTCCTCACAGAAAAATTCCAAATCATATATGTAGATATTCCCCCTTTCAGGAGGTGGAGTTTAATTCCACACTCCCTCTACCCATCCACTGGCTGTGAGGGTGGCCTGGATTTAGTGATTTGCCTCCAAAGAATGGAGTAATGAAAGCGAAAAACAGTAACTTTATAGTGGAGAAGCCTGGCAAACATGCTACTTAACCAAGTGATCAAGGTTAAAATCACCAGTGATGTTACGTGACTATCAGGTATCCCCCAACAGGGCACTTCGCCTCTGTGGTATTCTTCTCGAAACCCATAACATCAGTCTAGTCATGAGAAAAATATCAGACAAACTCAGACTGAGGGACATTTTACAGGATATTTGCCAGTATTCCTTAAGACTCATGAAAACCAAGAAAAGATTAAGAAATTGTCACAGGTCATTTCTTAGGTAGACATGACAACTAAATGTAATACGATACCCTAAGACTTGATTCTGGAATAGAAAGAGGTCATTAGTGGAAAAACTGGTGAAATCCAAATAACGTCTAGAGTTTAGCTAACAGTAATGCACCAATGTTGATGCTTTAGTTTTAAAAGTGTACCATGGTTATGTAAGATGTTAACAACGGGGAAACTGG